TATCTTGTAATTACAAGAAAAGATCCGAACAACTTTACTTGCTCAGTACCAACTTGGTACTGAGATTTGTTAATGAAATCTACTTTTTTTGAAACTTACTTTAATCTATCAAAAATAAAAGAAGGAGGTTAAAAGTGCAGAAGCTAACAAAAGAAACTATACCTCACCTCTTTAAATGAATTGATAAAGCTCCATTTTACACTATCTTCGCTGTCACAAGGTGTTAAAACATTTCCAGGATATCCTCTAAAATGTACCTGCAGAGAGATTTCACGAAGGTGTTGCCAATAAACTAAGATGCATCCCTGATAATATAATAACTTGTTTCATTAACTAAAGCATGCTACAACATCATAAAAGTTAAGTCCAAAGTAACAAGGTGGTTGGATTCTGTAAGGCCGGTTTGAAAACCCACTTTGTATTTGAAATTGAGTGTAAATAGGTGTAATGGAATTTAGTGCAAATAGGTGTAATTATAGACTTTTTTTATGACCGTGGTGTCAGGGCCAGCTTTCACGCACCTCGACTAATTCCACAAGATACCTGCCACCTCCCACCAGGAACAAGTATCAGGTAACTCTGTCCACTAAGTCTAGGACGGGGGGAGAATCACCAAGTGTTTTTTGTCTCCGCTAAGTTTTGAACCTGAGACCTCAGGGGTTCTCAACCACTTCATTGACCACTAAGCCACACCCTTGGGTGCTAATTATACAGTTTTGGTATGTTTGTCTGAGTTTGACCAAGTAATTACTAGGCCTGGGTGTAATTAGGTGTAATTGAGGGAGTAATCACACTCTTCAATTCTTAAAAGGGGGTTGAAAATTGCTAGTAATTACATGGTGTAATTACAAGGTCATTATCTTCATTGTTTTAGTTTAACTTTAATTTCTATTCCTTTTAATTTATATTTTATTTAAAATTCTTTTTCATTTTGATATTCCTTTTTTTATTTTTTCAAATATATTATACTAGTAAAATTACCCGCGCTTTGCGCGTGAATTCAATATCACGGAATTTATAAAATAATATTTAAAATTTATCAATCATTAAAACTAAAAAACTATATTATCTTACATACAAGATTACGTTGTAACAAACATTAATAATGTAAAGGAAAATAAAAATTATAACATCTTATAATTTATCATTAATAACATAAGCATAAATTAATGACTGTAAAAATACATACTAGGATCCGCAACATAAGCAATGGTGTCAGTGAGCCGCTCAACAAGAGCAATGTACACGAATATTTAATTGTGCAGAAGAAGAAGAGGAGGTTCAGAATTTTCGTTGTTTTAAAATGGGAGGAAATCCCTCTATTTATAGATAACAAAGGGTAGTGTGAACAAATGTTTATTGTGCCTTATCGGAAAGGTTACAACTATTTGGAAAAGTTGCAAGTTGCAACCCTTCGGAAAATTCACAACATTTCATAAAAGTCACAACTTTTCATAAAGTAGCAACTCTTCATTAAAGTCGCAACTTTTCATAAAAGTCACAACTTTTGATAAAAGTCGCAACTCTTCATTAAAGTCGCAACTTTTCATAAAAGTCAAAACTTTTCATAAAAGTCCCAATTTTTCATGAAAAGGGAAGGCTAGTTTTGGAAATAAATAAGTTAAAAGGGAATTCTGGTTTGTGGTGGTGCCACGTAGGCGGGCCTAGGGTTCTCTTTTATATATATATATGATTTTTACATTGTTTATCTTTCATTTCTTTATTTCTCATTTCCAAACTTTCACTTTACGTGCCTCCATATAATTTCTCATATTTTGTTTCTTTCTTATTTATTTTTTTTATTTTCTTCATTTTGCTTAGTTGTGTTATTATTCTAAATTTTTGAAACTATACCTCATATTCATAGAAACAACGAGTCATCTCCAAACTTGACTTATAATGATTGCATTAAAGTTGGATTTTCTTGTTGAATGAGGTTATAGAGAAACTTAACATATACTTGGTGATGACAAAATTTATAGATTATTTTTTATCAAACATTTGAACAATGTTATGAAGTTATGGTTGTAATTTTTTTTGGTCAAACATGTAGTTCATGATATTTTGCAAATTGTGTGTGCTAAGTTAGAATCTTTATTAATCAATTCAACTAAAATATTATACATTTGGAAATTGTATATCAATAATTTATTGCAATATTAGTTACAAATTTACAATTATTTAACACTATATTTTAAAAAATTAATATGTATATACTTAGTGTGAGAAATATATGGGAAAAATATTATTGAATTGTTGTTCTAATTATTACATAGAGAACCCTATTTATAGACACTATATAATACAATTCCTTACCAAATAGGAGACTATAAACTATTCCTATTTTGTGTAGGATTGTGTTTACCTATTCTATTCTAACACTCCCCCTCAAGCTGGTGCATACAAATTATATGTACCTAGCTTGTTACAAATGTAATTAATACGAGGACCGGTGAGGGACTTGGTGAAGATATCTGCAAGTTGATCATTTGACTTCACAAATTTGGTAACAATATCACCTGAGAGTATCTTTTCTCTTACAAAGTGACAATCAATCTCAATGTGCTTAGTCCTCTCATGAAACACTGGATTTGATGCAATATGAAGGGCCGCTTGATTATCACACACAAGTTCCATATGACCGGTTTCTCCAAACTTCAGTTCTCCAAGCAACTGTTTGATCCAAACTAGCTCACAAGTTGCTACAGCCATTGCTCGATATTCTGCTTCTGCACTGGATCGAGCAACCACACTTTGTTTCTTACTCTTCCATGACACCAAATTACCTCCAACTAAAACACAATATCCGGATGTAGAACGTCTATCAAAGGGTGATCCTGCCCAATCAGTGTCTGTATATCCGGTGATATGCTCATGGCCTTGATCCTCAAAGAGTAGTCCTTTACTAGGAGCTGACTTTATATATCGCAGAATACGAACAACTGCATCCCAATGACTATCACAAGGAGAAGTCATAAACTAACTTACAACACTCACAGGTAAAGAGATGTCCGGTCTAGTCACCGTGAGATAATTCAACTTTCCAACTAACCGTCTATACCTTTCAGGATTACTGAGTTGCTCCCCCTGTCCTAGAAGGAGTTTAACATTCGGATCCATAGGAGTGTCAATGGGTTTACATCCCATCATTCATGTCTCCTCAAGAATGTCTAAAGCATACTTGCGTTGAGAAATAACAATACCAGATCTAGACTGAACAACTTCAATACCAAGAAAATACTTCAGTCTGCCGAGGTCTTTAGTTTGGAATGCCAAACTTTTGAATTACTGTGCTGAACTTTCCAAACCAAGCTCGAGGAGACTGTTTCAGACCATATAGTGACCGACGCAATCGACATACAAGGCTTCTAGACTCCCCTGAGCAACAAAACCAGGTGGTTGCTCCATATAGACTTCTTCCTCAAGATCACCATGCAGAAAAGCATTCTTAATGTCCAACTGATGAAGAGGCCAATGACGAACGGCAACCATAGATAGAAAAAGACGGACTGATGCTATTTTGGCCACAGGATGTAAGTGTCACTATAATCTAGCCCAAATATCTGAGTATACCCTTTAGCAACAAGGCGAGCCTTAAGCCGATCGACTTGACCATTTGGACCAATTTTGACCGCATAAACCCAACGACAACCAACAATAGACTTACCAGTAGGAAGGGAGACAAGCTCCCAAGTACCACTCGAATGTAAAAGCAGACATCTCATCAATCATAGCTTGCCTCCATCCAGAATGAGAAAGTGCTTCTCCTGTAGTCTTAGGGATGGAAATAGAGGACAAAGATGATACAAAAGCATAATGGGGTGAAGATAAACGATGATAGCTCAAGAAAGTATAATGTGGATTAGTATTTCGAGTAGATCGTACACCTTTTTGAAGTACAATCGATTGACTAGCAGGAGGCAAGGCCGCAGTGGGAGCAGGGTCCGGCGCATGACATGAATCATTTGAGACTATTGCTGGACGTGGACGTCGATGGTAAGTTAGGAGTGGTGGCACTACGACTGGAGATGGAGAAGATATTGTAGGTCCCTCAAAAGTCGGTACAGGCAAGACCTGAGGTATGGGCAAGACCTCAGAGATATCAGGATGATCAGAAGATGTGTAGTAAGGTTGAGATTCAAAGAATGTTACATCGGCAGACATAAGATATCGGCGGAGATCATGTGAATAGCAACGATACCCTTTTTGAACTCGAGAGTAACCAAGAAAGAAACATTTAAGAGCACGAGGGGATAATTTATCTTTTCCAGGGGCTAAGTTATGAACAAAGCATGTGCTCCCAAATACACGAGGAGGGATAGAATAGAGATGTGACTGAGGATATAGTATGGAATGTGGAACCTAATTCTGAATAGAAGATGAGGGCATTCTATTAATTAAATAGCAAGATGAAAGGACTGCATCTCCCCAAAAACGCAGCGGAACATGGGATTCAATGAGGAGAGTGCGAGCAGTCTCAATGAGATGCCTCTTCTTTCTTTCTGCTACACCATTTTGTTGAGGAGTGTATGGACAAGATGTTTGGTGAATAATTCCTTGGTCAGACATAAACTCCTGAAACTGGGATGATAAGTATTCTAAGGCATTATCACTACGAAAAGTACGAATAGAAACACCAAACTGATTTTTTATTTCAACAAAGAAACTTTTGAATATAGAAAATAACTCAGAACGATCTTTCATTAAGAAAACCCAAGTAAATCTCGAATAATCATCAATGAATCTAACAAAATAACGAAATCCTAAGGTGGAACTGACTCTACTAGGACCCCAAATATCAGAATGAACTAATGAAAAAATAGACTCTGAACGCCCCTCAGTACCACGTGAAAATGTGGCAC